GCTGGCCCCATCTCCAGAGACTATAGAATAGTCGATTAACCAATAAGAATTCATGAGGTTACTCGACTATTCAATCAACCAATATTTAACATCCTTATATAGCAGTCGTCAAAACAGTGAGTGAGTTCTCAACCATGGTGAGAAAATGTTGGAGAACATGGTATGTCCTCACTGCAAGGCCTGCATTCCATTTTGTTTTTTGGTCATGTCTTCTGAAAGGCATAGGAATTGAAAAGATCCAGGAGTACACAGCACATCTGTCTGGAGTATTGTGGAAAAGGGAGTGGTAAAAGGAAGGAAGTACTTAATCTGCAAAGGGGATGGAGCATGATCAGAGGTAAGAGAGGTAATGTAGTGAATGGTACATAGAAGGCCAGTAAGGTGCTCCTCTTTACTTTCCCCCTGTAATTAAATAACTGAAGGGTTGTCAGTATCAGTAGACAGCATGTATACCTAATAGAAGAATATATATTTTATGCAACTTGAAGATAAGCTGTAACACTCTGCAGCACAGTATTTTAAATGCATACTGCTTAGAAAGATTTCAGAAGTGGATTACACCTTTATACTTAGGCTCTATGCTCTTCAGAACAGGGTCAAATGAATGTTGTTGCTAATTATGTATGCTCATTCAAGACTTAACACAAGGGGATCCCAAACCTGGACTGGAGGCTCTAATCACAGCTGCCATACACAATAAATAATAATAATAATAATAATAAATTAATAATAAATATATTTAGGAAATTAGTTAAAACTACAAGGACTGTGAATCCCTGTGCTTCAGGGTGCTTCTGATCACCAGCGAGGACAAGAAAAAAATGTTATCCCCAGTATGTAGCTTTGTACTGCTAGCTGCATTATGAAGCACCCGACATTGGTCACCATCAGTGTGAGGGCACCAGTCAAGATAGACCAGAGTTCTATTCCAGTCTGGCTGTTCATATCAACATTCTAAAAAGGTGCTAACATGAAAAACATGCAGAACAGATAAGCTGCTGTAAACTATAAATATCATTTGCGTAGATGCTTTTAAAAATAGTTTGAAGTGATTCATCACTGGGCAGTTTTCATACCTATGGGTAACATGATGTTGAAAACAATAAATTGACTGATAGTTCTAGCTTGCTGTTTGGATAACTGGCCATATCCTTTTTTAGAGAGGTTTTACTTTTAGGTAATTTAAGTTGTAAGTTTCTGTTTATTTGGTATCTTGATTTGGTGTCTTGATTAGGATCACCCCTTCCTTTGATTTCATTTGTATTTTATTTAGATTTTAAAAAATGTTTTGTTCGTTATTAAAAAGTAAACCAGCAGGATCCCATGTCATTTAGAAATGAAATCTTATTAGAGAGAAAATCTTTGCTGAGAGAGAGAACTTCATTAAGGTAATTTCTTAAGTGTCAAAAAAGGTTCTGTTGGTCTTACAAATAAGTACAAGAATCTTTGAGTCTTTAGTTACAGAAAAAAATTGAACTTTAATGGGATGGAGGAGTATTTGTATGTGTGGTGTCTCATGTATTAAGCCATAGTGCTGCATTGAACCATCATCTTTGGATCACTCCTTAACCTCCAAGAAAAACAGTTATAGTAGCAACAAATGCTGTGCATTAGAGATGCGTGAGAAAATCCTTTATCAGAGAGAATTCAGAATGGTGACTTGTATACTGATGAACAAATCTCATCATTGGTATTTTAAAAGGTTTTTTTAAACAAGCTACATTCATAGGGATTCAAAGAACATACAGGAAAAGAAAATAACTCTGCTGTAGCATGTCTGACCATTTAATTTCCATGAGTACATATTTTAGGAATATTACATTTCAAAAGATTTGCAAATATTTGTGACTTTTGGAAAATTACTTTATTAATTTGGTTCAGTTAGGTCGTATTCTGAGGTTTTCTTATGCTCCCCCTTCTTTCACATTCCATGCCAGAGCAAATATGACCTTGGAATTTGAACTTATAAAGTTAGTAGGGGGCTGCAGTCCTTGCTCTCTCTGGCCACCTCTCTCTGGCCACTTTTGTGGTCAGAAAGTCTGATGACATCATTCTGCCGCATGATAGAATATATATATATATATATA